TGTTGGATCACTTAATGCCTGAAACAACTGTTTTATAAACAAGTTGATAAATCACAGGGTTATAATAAAAAAAAAAATTTTAAACCCGCTGAAGCACTAAAGCAGAAGAGGCCCCAGTTTGGCCGAGACATGAAGGACTGGAGAAAGTGGAGAACAGAAACTTCACAGGAGAGTTCTGGGCTTCCAACACTTGGCTGGATTTCCCCATTGGGTATGTGAGTGTGAATCCAACCTGGGGTTTACACTCTCCTCAGGGGGATTTCTCTTTTGAACCCATGTTCCCCCTTGAGTCCGTATCTTTCTACATCTCTTTGCCTGCTTGCTCTTTCAAGCTCGTGTTCTCTCTTGGATGCATCTTCCTTTCCTCACATCTGAATTCCATTCAGTGAGGGAATTATCTCATAGTTCCAATAGTGAAACTATCTTGCTTCACCAAATGAACAAATAAATCCTCCTCATGAGCAGGCTGCTCCTTAGAAGACAAGATCAAGGAACACAAGAAATCAAGGAACTATAACGTCCACGAATATGATGATGGAGGTAGGAGTCTTGCAGCTGGAGACAATGACAGCATCCCTTGTCTGAAGAACTGGCTCCTTAGAGGATCTGTCTATATGACTGGTCACACAAAGGCCCCCCAATAGCCAGTCAGGACAGGTCAGGAAACAGCAAAGTCCCCACAGGCATGCCCTTCCTCCTGTGAGTGGGTACCTCCCCCTAAGCACCATCATGCTGATCTACATCCCATGTATGAGCGAAGAAATAAGAGAGGCCTCTGCACTGAAAGAATTCATAGCCTCAAGTCTAGCCAGCCTGCTATGGCCAGGACAGTGAGGCATCAGAAACGAAACCAAGGTGGAGATCAATAGGTCAAGATAGTGTGCATCAGGAGCAAGTGAACATTCAAGAATGAAATTAATAAACTAGAAAAAGTACTATGGAGGGGCTGGAGCGATAGCACAGTGGGTAGGGCGATGGCCTTGCACGCCCAACCTGGGTTCGATTCCCAGCATCCCATATGGTCCCCCGAGCATGGCCAGGAATAATTCCTGAGTGCATGAGCCAGGAGTAACCCCTGTGCATCACCAGGTGTAGCCTAAAAACAAACAAACAAACAAAATCGAAATCTTGTGAATTCACAGTAAAATAAATAAATAAATAAAATTTAAAAAGAAAGAAAAAGAAAAAGTACTATGGAGTCAATCATAAAATAAAATGCAGTTCTTGGCATAAGAAAATGGACAAAAGGAGAGGTCAATAATGTTTCTCTGGGTAATATTTTAAACAATGTCTAGAAAGTTTGCTTTCTAAGAGTTTGAGAAGAAATTGTATGAAGAAAAATTGTGTGAAAAAAACATGTATTTTAATTTTGAAATCAGGTTAGCTTCTAATTCAGTATTGTACATTCTGTACAGTCTGTACAATAATAAAAGATAATAAAAATAATAAAATAAAATAAATAATTTTAAAAAGTCTATACATTCAGGATTGTAACTCTCGCTCTGTCTCTGTCTCTGTCTATCTCTGTTTCTCTCTCTCTCTCTCTCTCTTTGGTTTTTATGTTAAACCTGGTGGTGTTGGGTGCTATTCCTGAATCAGTCCTCAGAGGTCTGTATGGGGATTATGTGAAACCATGTGACGTACAGGGGATGAAACCCAGATTTCCTACATACAAAGTTATGTTTCAGCCCAGTGAGCTATATCTCTAGTCGTATATTAAGACTCTTAACCAGACTCACTATATATTAAATTAGTGAGTTATATGGATTCATTTTTATGTTGAACCATCTTTGCATTCCTTGTTACACACACACACACACACACACACACACACACAATTTGGTTTAATGGCTGATAATCTCATTACACTATGTGCCAGGTACTAGGTTTGTATTAACTCATGCAATCTTCACTCTATTATACAGATGCTACAATTATCCCCAATTTACAAATAAGAATATTGATGCACATAGAGATTAAAGTGACTTGGCAAAGATCATGCTGTCAATTCATGGGACAACTGGGCTGTGAATATAGGAAGTCAGATTCCAGAGACAGTGATAATACCCACTAATCCACAACTGAATTTAAGCTGTTCTGTTTGTTTACTTGGGGGTCATACCTGGCAGTACTCAGGGACTACTCCCAGCTCCGTGCTACCAGTGGTGCTCAAGGAGCCATGTGGTACTGGTATTGAATCTGGGTCTCCCACATATGAAACACATATTCGATCCTTTGACTTATCACACCATTCTAGGACTGGGATATTCTTTACTCCAGCTTTTGGAGTATATGCTCTATATCTCCCAATTATCCTGGTGCCAGTGGCCACCAGAGACATATTCTTCCATGATTGAAGAAATCAAGGAGACCAGGTTTCATGTTAAGATGTTACAAGAGCGAGAGTTGGCTCAAGGGCTGCTTTGTTGACATGTAGGAAGGTCCATTTGTTCCATTTGTTTTAAAGCCGATGCTCCCTTCACATTACTCGTAGGCTCATGGCCAAACCAAATATCAAAGGTTGTTTATACTAATCCCCTACTGGGAATTTCTGGTAAGTACCATGGCAAAAAGCAGGAATATACAAATTTATGAGAAAGAGAAGTAAAAATAACAACAATAGTTCTCCGAACTACCATGGGCACATTGATGAAACTTTTTTTTACCAAGAACTGGGTTTTATCTTATGATTAGCTTCATAGTTAAGTCTTTATTCTAGTTTATTAATTTCAGTATTGAATTTTCACTTATTATTTATTCATACTATCTTTATAAATATCCATTTTTGCATAAAGTTGACATTCCTTGGGGGACTGTTGCTGGGCATATGTGGCAGGGCACTCTTGTTCAGCTTGTTTTCTGCTGTGTTCGAGCAGATGCAAATTTGTCTGATGGCCAGTTGAGGAAATAATGAGGTACCTGAGTAAGGACAAGATCCACTGTTGCTTATGTGCCCCCATGGAGAACTAGCTTGTGTTGAGTAGTTGAGACATCAAAAAAAAACATATTTTCAACTTGGCATAAATGAAAAGATTCAATAGTAATCGTCATAAAAAAATAGTAATAGCATAAATTCGAAGCCCAGAACAAGGAGAGGACAGACTGAACTTCCATGAGTGTCTGGTCCCTGATCAAGTGGGTGTTTTCTAATCCTTAACATATGCTCCGATTCCTGTCCTCACCCAGGAGATGTCTCCTCAGGGCAGAACTCACCCACTCCCCAGACTCCCTCCTGGCCCAGAGCACAGCCTCTTGTGCCTACCTTTCCTCAACCCTCCTCCCCAAACCAGCCTTCCTCAAATTCTGGTGCATATATAGGGTGCTGGTTCCATGTACTTCTCTCTGTTTCAAATATCCACCCTTGTATTTGCTGTATGGGGTAAATGTTCTTTGTCCGGAAACCACCCTTTCCTTTACAATGGGTACCTCTTAGTGCTTCCTTCAGAACAGGAATCTGGGAGGGTTGCCCACCGGGGTGGGGTGGGGGCCTGAGTGTACAGGGCTGACGACTCTACAGAAGAGGAAAAACCAATCACGAGGCTGGGTTTCCAGGGGAGTCTCCCAGCCACCCTCATCCCGTTCCCCCACGAGGGAAAAAGCAAACCTCTCTAGTTGTTTGATGAGATGGAGTGTTTGAAAAGTGAGTTTAGTTTTGGGCAAGGACAGGAATCAGAGCATATGTCAGGGATTGGAAAAGACCTACTTGATCAGGGTCTGGCGATAAACACAGGACACTCGTGGAAGCCCCGGTACGGGGCAGCTGAGAGCTGGTCTGGTATGTCCTCCAGTATGTGCCTGGCTGCTGTCTCTCCCCCAACGCTCTTCATGGAGCTTCCTGGGTGCTGCCCTGGATGTAGAAGGTAAATCAGCGAAGCTCTGATCCTGGAAAAGTAAAAGTGCTGGAAAAGAGGAAACGGGCGAGCTCCAGTTGGCTCAAGGGCTGCTTTGTCAACATGTAGGAAGGTCCATTTGTTCCATAAAGGTTTATTGAGCATTTTTCTTATTTTGTTATTGAGCGTTTCCTGTTGTGGGTACCCTTCCAGGTATGGTTACAGCTGCTAGACAGCACGACACCCTCTTCTGATCAAGTTTTGCTCCAAATGAGTGGTTGCAAGGTCCATGAAACAAGATAATTCTGTCTTAGCTTCTAGCCAATGAGTATTCCATTGTGTCTACATACCATAGGCTTTTTGTTTTTAATCCAGTCATCTGTTCTTGGACACTTGGGTTGTTTCCATATTTTGGCCATGGTGACTAACACTGCAATGGTCATAGGAACACAGATATCTTTCTTGAAGAGTTTTTGGTCCTTGGGGTAGAAAAGCAATTCTACAAAGAGACACAATCCTGTACATTAAAGCAAAGAATTACAATTTAAAGACAGAGTAACTGCTGGAATGTATAGGGAAAACCTTTTCTTCCGAGATAGTATTTCAGTTGAAATCTAAATGACAGTGATCAAACATGGAGGGAAATGTTCCCAACAAGCATAGTGACAGCAAGTATCCACATTCACCTTTGAAGCAAAGTTGCCTCCAAATACTTCTCCCCTCCTCTTAGCCTCATGACATCCCCAAACAAACAAGTAATAAATGTTCTGAAGAGAAGGGAAAGAGGTGACGTAATTGTCCCCACAACCTCTCAGTAAACCAAGAAAATGAGGGGTACAGTGGAGCCCAAGATCTAGTCCAAACAACTGAGAGAAAAGTGTGCCTCTGTGTGTGTGTGTGTGTGTGTGTGTGTGTGCGCGCGCGCATTGTTGGGTAAAATGTCCATGCAACGGCTCCTCCAAAATTAGGTACTGGATGGAACTCTGCTGAGAGATGCAATTCTAGGGGACACGTGTCACCCAGTTGCAGAGAAGGGCATGCGGGAGGGCCCACAGATGAAGGTGTGTGGGGTGTTCAAGCCGAGACCTTGCACCTTGCCCAGAACTGTGCTGGAGATCCCGTCAGTAACCCTGGCAAGCTATCTAGTAAACAGCAGTTCTAAGGATGGTTGTTTATTAATCTGGGAGTGAAGGCCAGTCTGGCACTGCCTCGGCCACCAGGCTCACTGGGCTCCATGTCACTGAATTGTCAGACAGATTTGGCTTGGAGGACCAGCTTCATGGCCACAGCCACCACTCTGTGGAGGACCTCGTAAGTCATTTCTGGGGGATGGGACCTCATGCCAAGAGTGGCCACTTGCCTTGCCCCTGGTTAGGTCTAGGCAGGGTCCGGATGGGGTTTTCAGGTCCACTCCGGGCTCTATCACCAGGTGTCGGTGTCCCTCCTGAATCTACCTGATCTTCGATTTGAGGGAATTTTCAGACAAAGGGAAGATTGGACGTGGGGTGTGATTGACTGTAACATACTTTGATCCTCAGTAAAATCGGAGGAGGGGTGTGTGTGTGTGTTTGTGTGTGTGTGTGTGTGTGTGTGTGTGAGAGAGAGAGAGAGAGAGAGAGAGAGAGAGAGGAGTAACCCCTGAGCATCGCTGGATGTAGTTGCCACACCCCCACCAATAAATGACAATAGAAAGTTCCCTTATAACTTGCTTCTCACTTCGTCCTGGAGGAAGGCAAGAGTTTAGGGTGCTGACAACTACAGGGACATCATTAATATCATTATGTGACAAAGGCCTGGACAGCAGGACTTTCAAAGTTTGTGGAATGAGGGTCCAGTGTAGCAAAGGCCAGGGTGCAATCTGACAGCCACATGGGGGCATAGTACCGGGGAGGCAGCACACACAAATTCTGTCAGCAACAGCCCCAACCAACTTCCTGCCAGGTATGGGGCCAGGTATTTTAGGAGTCTGGATCTGGCTGGCGAAAAACAAAAAACACAGTAATCTCTCACAGGGAAATCTCAAACCAAGAGAAAAACCCTAAATTTCATCTGTTCTGAGAGTCAAGCCCTGTCTCAACCCACCAACGAGTACGGAGAGAGAGAGAAAGAGAGGAGAGGGGGAGAAAGAGAGAGAGAGAGGATGGGGGAGGGAGGGACAGAGGGAGAGAGAGTGAGAGAAAGAGAAAGAGAGATGGAGAGAGGGAGAGGTAGAGAGAGAGACTGGGGAAAGTGCTGTGGCTCTGAAGGCAGCTGGGGACCTCAGAGTGGAAATTATGGACATTGGTGTGAAAGATCCAAAAGATACCATAAGCCAGGTCCCACCGAGATATAGATCTTGTGGGACTTCAGTGACCTGTTAGATTCTGAGTTTAGCATTTAGAGGATTCAGAGAAAATGAACATCCACATTGACCTCAAAAAAGGAAGTTGAGAACAACAGAAGTTCCCCCCAAGTTAATCTGCTTTGCCCCTATGCCAGGTCCCAAAAACAGCTTGAGTTTGTCATTTCCAGACCCCCACACTCTCGGGCCCAGGCTGCCTAACTTAAAGCCTGTTCACATAGGAGCATCACAGGCCCTGGAGGATGGGCTCCAAGCAAACCCCTTTTGCTTGGTCTTTATTTCAGCCTCATCCAACTCAACTCCCTTTGATTGATCTCTGCCTAGCAACTGGGGGGGGGGGGGGGGGAGCGGTGTACGGGACTCAGAGTTAAGGCCTGTGACACTTCTTAGTGCACCAACAGCCCTGGCCCAGAGACTCCCAGTTGAATCCCAAAATGGATTTGTGCCATACAGAAATGCCTCTGGAACCCAACCATTTACAATCTAGAGATTTACATTTACAATAGCGGTCATGAGAGCTCTCATGATATTCAAAATGAGCAATGGAGGGACTGGAGGGATAGCACAGCGGGTAGGGTGTTTGCCTTCTACGCAACCAACCCAGGTTCGATTCCCAGAATCCCATATGGTCCCCTGAGCACCGCCAGGAGTTATTCCTGAGTGCAGAGCTAGGAGGAACCCATGAGCATCACAGGGTATGACCCAAAATGCAAAAAAGTAAGGTAAAAGGTAAAGGCCCTCCCGTTGATCGTCGATTTGCTCGAGCGGGCCCAGTAACGTCTCCATTGGAGACTTTGTTGTTACTGTGTCTGGCATATCGAATACTCTCGGTAGCTTGCCGGGCTCTCCGAGAGGGGCGGAGGAATCAAACTCGGGTCGGCCATGTTTGCAAAAAAGTAAAAAATGAAAAATTTAAAAATGAGCAATGGAAAATAAATTATCTAGTATCCACCCCTGGCAGGTAGGCTTGAATGGTGGTGGGAAATTTTGAGCAAAACATAATGCCCAAAATTAGAGAGAGAGTATTTGGGGAAACTGTCTGCGATAGAGGAAGGGTAAGGACTGGGATGGGGCGGGGGCAGGGGGCCTGCAACAGGGGGGATACTGGGAACATTGGTAGTAGAAAATGTGCACTGGTGGAGGGATGGGTGTTCCGTCATTGTGTGGCTGAATCTCAAACATGAAAGCTTTGTAACTCTATCTCACGGTAATACAATTAAAAAAAAAAGTAATGTGGAGCTCATGCCCAATTCAATCAGCTTAATCAATGGCTGAACAAATAGCAGTATTCCTACATTATTAAAAAAAAAAAGGCCTGTGACACTTATTAGCCACAGAGTCTGGCTCCCACACCCGAGGCAGCCACCAGTGCTAACTAGACGAAAGGCAAGGCAGTGATTTTTTTCTCATTTTCCTCCACTCTAGGGTAAGGAGCATGTTTCTGAAGTCCTCACTTGTTGTCTTCCTTCTGTGTGTGGTGACAGCCTCCTGCTCTGAACCCCAGAACTGTGAAGATATTCGAAAGACCTGCTCGGTGATTGCCTGCAACACCCCAGGCCGAGATGGGCGAGATGGACCCAAGGGAGAAAAGGGAGAGCCAGGTATGAGGCAAGCTGCTCTGTCCCTGCATGGGACTCCCTCCACCCCCAGACACGAGCTGGCTGGCACCTTCTTCATGCCCGTGAATGGCACAGGAGGATTTGCTTGCAAAATCTTTCTCTCCAAATCTAAGATGTTTCTGGGTCCTCTGGAATTCCACCTCTTCACACAGGGCTTGGCTGAGGGTGATTGTCTTTTGAGAAGGGGCGTCTGCATGTTTGGGGACCCAGGATAGGCCATCCCCTGGGGTTCACAAGGCTTTTTCTTTTTGGGGTCAACACTAGCTCATTGGCGGTTTCTTGGGGACCCTTTGAGTGGAGGATTTTTTTGCCTTTGCAGGAAGAAAATATCAGTGATCCCTCAGGTCACATTTCCTTGTTCTTCCAACAGGGGAAGGGCTCAGAGGTCTGCAAGGCCCTCCTGGGAAAATGGGGCCTCAAGGAGTGCAGGGGGCCCGCGGGATTCCTGGGCCCCAGGGTCCCAAGGGAGATCAAGGAGACTGTTCAGGTAAGGATCCCTTCCTGGTGTGGTGTGGGCTGGGGCACACAGGCCCCAGACCAGTGGGTCAGTGGGAGGGGTCCCTTCTGATCCCTGATGGAGATACTCTACATCCAAACCTTGTACCAGATACACTTCAGGGCCTCGAGGGGTTGCCTCTCCTGCCTGACTACATCAGCTCCTTGAATTGTGTTGTTTTGCTCAGTGTCATCTATGATGTTATAATGCTGAGGGAAAATAAAACAGATTCCTGGTCAAAGGATTCCTCCACCAACCTTGTGGAGTCTACATGGATTTTCTCCCACATTCCAAACAGTCTTCTTGAGTCTCTTGTCCCAGGAGTGGCAGGAACAGTCTGCCTCAATGGTTTAAGGTTGTTGTCTGGCAAGCACACATTCCTGATTCAAACCAGAGGCCTCCTACAAGCACCAAGGTCCTGCCGTGAACATCCGTGAAGAGAAAAGTCCAGAAGATGGCTCATTATCTTCAAAAGCTCCTGTGAACAGCATAGGGGAACGAAGGTTAATCGTCAGGGCCATATGTGGCACAATTCATTCCCAGGTTCAATCCCCGGCACCCCATATAATCCCACAAATCCTGCCAGGAGTGATCCCTGAATGCAGAACCAAGAGCAAGTCCTGAGCACAACCAGATGTGACCCCCCCAAAGCAGATATATAGGGAAACTCCTAGAAAATGGGACAGCAACTTATTTCAAAGTAAAATAAAGTCAATATCAAGAAAATTTAAATTATTATTATTTTTCCAACATCAGTCAAATGAATAAAAGTATAAAGAGTGTTCCTGAAATTAAAAATAAGAGAAAATGATTATAAGATTCTTTTTCAGGGGGTTTAGCAATAGTACAGTGGGCAAGGCAGCTTGTATATGACTGACCTGGGTTCAATCCCCAGCACTACATACAGTCCTCTGAGCCTGAGCACAGAACCAGGAGTAAGCTCTGAACACCATCAGGTGTGCCCGCCAATCAAATAAAATAATTTTTTAAAAAAAGAATTGGACTTATCATACAATAATAATAATCTTGCAATATGTGAGTGTGTGAGAAAAAGATCCAGAGCTATAATTGAATACCTTACATTATCATAGCTATTAGTATTAGTATTAGTATTATTATTATTATTATTATTATTGGGCTGGAGCAATAGCACAGTGCGTAGGGTGTTTGCTGACCCAGGTTCGATTCCTCCGTCCGTCTCGGAAAGCCCAGCAAGCTACCGAGAGTATCTCACCTGCACGGCAGAGCCTGGCAAACTCCCCATGGCGTATTCCATATGCCAAAAACAGTAACAACACGTCTCACAATGGAGACGCTACTGGTACCCGCTCGAGCAAATTGATGAACGACAGGAAGACAGGCAGTGCTACAGTGCTATTATTATTATTATTATTATTATTATCATTTTCATTGTCATTTCATAGTAGTTATAGAGTTGTGATTCATAAGAGTTACTAGGATATTTTGGGGTGGATAGAAATTCAGTTCTTTTCCCTTTTGCGTCTTTTGTTTTTTTCACTTTTCTGGACGAACCATCCTCTTCGGAAAGTTCTTCGCTTCCCCTTGGTGCTCTGCTGTCTAACATAGCGCCCTCTCTCAGTAAGTGTCCTTTCCCTACTGCTTTGTAGCCATGGAGACCACGTTGGCTCGCTTAGAGAAAGAAATGAGGAGCCTGAAATCAGAGCTGGATGAAGTCAAAAGGCGTAAGTGTGTTTTCTGATCTCAGTGCTCCGGGCTTGGGAAGAGCAGAAGAGAACTAACAGCTAGGAACACACCTGGTGGTGGAGTGTGGGTCACCATTATCTCATACTCTGGGCTCATTCAACCCTCTTTTCAGTCCTTCTTGAGAGAATTAGAGTCACTTTATTTATGTAAGAGCAAAGCGTTGAACATTTGCTTGACCTCACACAGCTTGGACATAGCAGGGGGTGTTGGTCTGTCTGCAGTCTTTACTCACCCTTCAGTAACTGGGACTTGCTCTTCAGCTGAGGGGGGGTGTCCTTACAAGGATCTAACCACAGGTGGTGGGCTTGTCACTATTATTCAGAGACTGGTGTTTCCCAGGGGAGGATTCTTTCACCTGCTATCCTGGGTCGGTCTCCAAGTTCAATCTCCCCCACCTTTTGTAATTTCAGTGCAAAGCTTCTCCTTGGGCAAAAAGAGAGGGAAGAAGTGGTACGTAACCAATGGGGAAAAAATGCCTTTTGCCCAAGTGAAGTCAGTGTGTGCTCAGCTTCAGGCCAACATAGCCACCCCAAAAAACGCTGAGGAGAACCAAGCCATTCAGAACGTGGCCAACGACATTGCCTTCCTGGGCATCACAGATATGGAGACAGAAGGCCAGTTTATGTATGTGACGGGAGGGAAGATCACGTACAGCAACTGGAAGAAGAATGAGCCTAATGATCATGGGTCAGGGGAGGACTGTGTGGTCCTCTTAAAAGATGGCAACTGGAACGACATCTCCTGCTCATCCTCCTTTGTGGCTGTCTGTGAATTCCCGGCCTGAGAACATGGCTTCCTTCCTGCTGAGTTCTCTGTTGCTCTGAAAGGGAATTTGATGCTGGTCTTACTGATGCCAGGTGTTGGCATAGGTGGGTTTACACACACACACACACACACACACACACACACACACACACACACACACCCATGCACATACACTGCTGTGTTGTAGTCATGGGGGTAGTTGAGAACAAAGGCAGCCTTCCTGGGTCTGGTTTGTTTTACCGGCACCACAAGAGGGGACAAATGGTTAGGTAGACTGTGTCCCTCTCCACAAGGCATCACTGGTCTCATTTCCTCCCCAGTCAGCTTCCACATCCTTCTAATTCCAGTTCAAAGTTTAATGACTCCATTATTAGTAGATATAAGAGAATAAATGCTGTGAAAGTAGAGTTTTACACCCTGCAGTTCAAGTCTTGTAGCATTGTCCCATCTGCAAAGGAAGCCTCCCTTCTGAGCAGGCTTCTGATGTGATCTTGACCCACAGGCCAGCTCTTTACCATGGATGTTTTTCACTAATGGTGGTGGGAGGGAGCTGACATGTACAGAACTCAAACTGATGACTGGACAAAGAGTTAATTCCAGCTCCAACTGTATGCCATCTGCAAAAGGAATAAATATGTCCTAAATGGACCAAAAGCCACTTTCACTTCATAAAATATTGTTGGTAAAATTAGTGTTCCACATAAAGTAACAAAATAGGAGACTAACACCCAAGAATGGCCGAGATTAGTACCAGGAATTTTACTCCATGGCTTGGAGGCCAACCACACATACTAGGGGAAAAGGGAGCTCAGATAAAGAGGGGAACACCAAATAAAGGTGTTGGGAGGATCCTCCCAGGATGGGAGAAGCATGCGGAAAATAGACTATAGACTAAACATGATTGTTACCCATTGCCTCTTTTGCAAACCAAAACACCCAATAAGAGAGAGAGAACAAAAGGGAATGCCCTGCCACAGAGGTAGGGTGGGATGGGGAGGGTGGGGGGTAGAAGGGATACTGGGATCCATGGTGGTAGGAAATGGGCACCGGTGGAGGGATGGGTATTTGATCATTGTATAATTGAAACCCAAGCACAAAAATGTGTAAGTCTGCAACTGTACCTCATGATGTCTCACTATTAAAAAAATTTTTTAATAAAAAAAATTAGTGTTCCATGGTATTACTTTTTATAACTGTACTACTAAAGAAAACCCTCCCCTGTAATCTGTGCTTGATGACCATCTGTTTAGTAGAATGTGTGTTGGATGTGTGTTGAATACAGTTGGAGCCATTGATACAGGGTAGAGTTGCCTAATGGGTGAGCTTCTTTGGCAAGACTACAGGGCAGGGCTGAGAGTTGGGTTCTAACATGCTGAAGGATTTGGGTGCAGGGGATAAAGCTCATACCTTGGGTCTCTATCATGTAGATGCCACATCCCTGAAGTTTCAATCCTGCAAAGCTCTTTGTCGTGGACTGCCCTTGGGAGGCAACAAGAGAACTTGTTAACATGCAGCACAACAAACCACTGTTTTCAGTTCAAATCCACACAACTCGACAAAGCCGTGGGGAAATGCTTCGAATGTAGAGGCACTGTGGAAACTGTAGCTATGGGAAAAACCAGACATCTTTTACCAGGAAAGATGTCTTTTAGAAGGAATGATGAGGCACACAAGATAGGCCAGAACAAAAATGGTACCACAGTTACGCATGAAGTTACACCTACATTTTTCCAGAACCATGACAAACAGGGAAACAACAGATGAATAAACATTAGGCAGCTCCTCTATTTTATGTTATGGGCTGGAATCTTCTGGAATCTTGGCTGCCCTCAGAAGATTGTTCTTTCTGGTTGATTATTTTTTTCTTTTTGGGTCACACCTGGCAATGCACAGGGGTTACCTCCTGGCTTTGCACTCAGGAATTACTCCTGGCGGTGCTCAGGGGACCATATGGGATGCTGGGAATCGAACCTGGGTCAGCCGTGTGCTAGGCAAACGCCCTACCTGCTGTACTATTGCTCCAGCTCCTAGAGGAGTTTCTTTAGCTTGAAAATGTAAGAGATAATGCCACGTGCTTCATATTCATTACCTCCCAGGGTGAAATGATTTACTCTCTGTCCAGAAAACACAATTAGAATCTGCAAGACCAGCACAAATATTTTATCCCCCTTTCAGGCAACCTCTTCCAGTTCCATCTAGGATGACTGCTCCTGTCCTGTTCCCTCACCTACAGGGGCTTGATTTCCTGCTCTGAGAGCTTCTGAGCTACCCAAGACTGACCTTCTGCCCTGCCACATCCTCTGAGGATCCTGACTAGTTCTCTCTCCTCCTGGACCATCTTCTCCCCAAGTTTGCTCTCCCCCACCAGATTCAGTGCCTGGCAATCCTTTCTTATGTCCTCTCTCTATATGCAGCCCTTTGCCACCATTCCCTTCTAAAATGAAGGGAACCACCTCTCTCTGCCCATGTCCCAAAGCTTATCAGCTAGCCACAGGACACTGAGCAATTAGCTCAAGAAAAAGAGAAGTGTGGGGGTGGAGTGACGATACGAAGGGTAGGGCATTTGCCTTGCCCGTGCTCTACCCAGGTTCAATCCTTGACATCCCATATGGTCCCCTGAGCTTGTCAGGAGTGATTTCTTAGCACAGAGCCCAGAGTAACCCCTGAGCATTGCCAGGTGTGATGCCCCCCAAAAAAAAAATAAAAAACAACCAAAAACAGTGGAGAAATTTAAATATGTTTGATTCTCTGATGGAGGACATAAATCAACCATTCAGCACCTGCTTTTCATGTCAGAGACCTTGATTCAATGCTTTGCACAACAACAACAAAAAAAAAATCAATGAATTTATTGAATTTAAGGTCCACAGTTGGAAGCCTGTTTCAAGTGCTGGGGGAGAAGGCAGTTGGGATAGAGATGGGACCACTAAGTCAATGATGGTTGGAGGGATTGCCCAGGATAAAGAAAATCCCTGCCACAGAGGCAGGGGTTGGGGTGGAGTAGGGGTGGTGAGAAGAGGGATACTGGGGAATTGGTGGTGGGAAATGTACACTAGTGGAGAGATGGGTGTTCCATCATTGTATAACTGAAACTCAAGCATGAAAGTTTTGTAACTATATCTCCCGGTGATTCCATTTAAAAAAAAAAAAAAAGCTTGTTTCTCATGAGAGTCCAAAGGTAGAAACTGAAGTTTCCTCCAAGGCCTTTCAAGACCTGGAACAAGAGGGAAACTATGCGTTCAAGGTGACCCTCCAAATAGCCTCTTTCTCCAGGTTAGAAAGGAGACAAAGCACGCAAGGGAAATGCCTTGATGCCGTGTATGATCTCTGTTCCCTTGGCAAGCCCCTGCTTGTTCTGTTGCAGAGGGAACCTTGGAGGCCCGTGGTTTCCCAGGCTGCTCTAGGCTAGGGAGTGGATAGCATATTTGAGTTCTTCCATTGCGTCTCGCTCTAAGGCAAGACCTGCGTGAGAGCTGCATTCCTGTCAGCTACATCCTAGAGCATTCCCAGAAAGGAAGCTGAAGTGAGTCTTCAAATTCCGGGGGTCTGTGGTCCCGCCTGAGTGATACCCAGCAGCAGAGTGTGGCCTGGGGTCTCTGGACCTCAGTGGGACTGACAGGGGGCAGCTTGATGGCAGGATGTTTGGGACTCAGAAGCACAGATCTACAGTTTGAGGTTGGCTCCCTGAGCCTCCATCTCCCCATCTGCAAAATGATTTGTAAAGACTCCTCCCTTCTCAAGCGGAAAGAACCCAGGGTCACACCTTTGCTCAAAGTCCTGTGGGACCCATTTCCAGTGCAAAGTAGCCATCTCTGGAACATGCTTTCAGGTGCTAAGGCCCATCAGCTTTGAGAACTCTTGCTCAAAGCCATAGAAGGTCACTCTTGGGCTGGAGCTATAGCACAGCAGGTAGGACAATTGCCTTGCATGTGGCCGACCTGGGTTCGATCCCCAGCATCCCATATGGTCCCCCGAGCACCACCAGGAGTAATTCCTGAGTGCAGAACTAGGAGTAACCCCTGTGCATCGCTAGGTGTGACCCAAAAAGCAAAAATAAATAAATAAATGACATAGAAGGCCGGTCTGAAGCAGGGTGGGGGATGCAAATAATCTCTGCTCTCAAGAGGGACCTGGAGTTTAAATGACAAAAGTAAGTCAGCAGCCTCCATGGAAGTTGAAATGAACGATGTGACCGAGATTTTTTCCTGTGCAGAACGGAAGCTGGTCCAGAGGGCAGCACTCAGACCTGGGGTCTGGATGCTGGGATTGTGGAGCTCTGTTCCTGCAGACCCAATTCTCCTTTCTTTCTTTTTTAAAATCTGGGCTACTCGACAATGCTCAGGGCTTACTCCTGTCTCTGCAGCCAGGAATCACTCCTGGCAGTGCTCGGGCAACCATAGGGAGTGCCGGGGATCGAACTCAGATGAGCTGCATGCAAGGCAAGGACTGTACGGCCAGTCCAGCCCAGGCCCGGCTCTCTCCGCCACCCTCCAGCTCTGCTTTTTCTTGCTCCCGGCCATGCCCAGGTCAGAGGAGATGCTGCTGGAGCGCGGATAGAAGGCCAAGCTCTCGTGTTCCTCAAACCTCCTTCCTGCCGGGAACCAGCCTGCCCCCCTCCTCCCTGGTAGATGAGCCACACCTGGGGTCACGGGGAGACCCTTCACTCACCCCCTTGGGATATGTTCTTGGCAGAGAGCTTCTGACCCGGAAGCTTGTTTGCTCATTATTGTGTAACTGACCTGTGCTCTGAAACCTGCCAGGAATCAGGGATCTTTCCCCATTTCGTTAACCAGAAAGGATCCAATGTCATGATGGCGCCTGGGTTCCAGGTATCCAGGAACAGCCTTTGTGATGGGATGTTGTCCTCGCAGCTCTGAGTGGCTAATGGAGTGCTGTGAAGAGAGGAGGGGTTCAGGGCTGGGGTCCACCTGGGAAGGGGTGTTCCCAGCATATGGAAGAGACAATGTCTCCTTTGGACTAGTGGTTTGTGCAGGCAAACACAGGTGTCAGAGTCAAAACAAGTAGGAGGGCAGCGCCCTTTAGCCCTAGCTAAACAAATGCCCCGCACTAAGCAAACCACCGACCACCCCAGAGCCAGCCTGGCCTGGCTCCTTAGCTCCGTGTGTCACTCACCAGACTCTTCAGAGTTGGGACCAGCTGCGTTGCCAGGAACACTCGACAACTCAAAGAATCTTGGCTTAGCCTTGGACCCAGAGAATCCAACTCGCAGAAATCTGTCACCTTCCCGGGACCCCTCAATGACCCGGATGTGCGGTCAGCTTTGGAAATTGCTGTCCCAAGAAATGCATCGCCAAAGTATTTGCTGGCTTCTCTCGGCTTTGCAGGGCACCCAAGAGTCAGGACACTGGGGCTGCTGCACTCTCCGTAGACCCTTCCAGAGCCCAAGAAGTTTTCTGCTTTACAAAGTGTCAAATCTCAAATAACCTCCTTCCACAAGCATCTGCTGGCCCAAAATTCATTTCCAGAGTCGTGGAATAGCCTTGGATGGTTTGAGGGGTGACAAGTCCCTGGTGAGTGGACACTCTGAGTAGGGAATTGTGAGCAACAGGATTTGGAGGTATTTGGATGCATTCTTGTCCATCTATGAAGAAAATAATAGTCCCAGTGCTAGAAATTTCCAGTCTTCTATTGATAGGGCCCAACCTCTGCCTTCCCCTAACTTGTGCCCAGGCCTCTCTCTGTTCCCGCCTCCCTATGGAGCATGGGGTCTGGTGACTCCAAGAGCTCTGGGGAAAGAGGCACAGATGCTTGATTGTGGACAAAAAGAATCACGTGTGGCCCTGAGTTTTGATTTGGGACCGCCATGGCTTCACAGAGATGCTCTGGGAGTGAACAGGTTCCTCTTCCTTTGCCAGGTCTGGGATCATATCCTCCACCGAAGGCCTTATCCGGCCACTAAACTAAGCTGGGCCCCATCCCAGTCACCAGCATGAAGACTCCTTTCATTGTCTTTCATTGTCCTGGTAGCCACTCTTTCATCAGAACTCAGCTTGGCTGCTTGTTGCTTGTTTGCTTACCTTCTGACATGGGAGCAGAACTACGAAGAATTCTGAAGCCAGGGGGCTTAGATTCAAATCCTGACTCCTCCACTGAGCAGCTGTGCGGCCCTGGGTGAGTCACAGAGTCTCTGGACTCTAGTCCTCACTAT